GTTTGGGATGCCAGTTACTCTGCTCCCTAGGAATGTTAGGGACCTAATGGTGCATGTGACTAGCCTTGAAATACTAGTGACAAACCTAGTGATGCTAGTGACTAGCTTAATGGTGTTAGTCACTACATTAAAAATGCTAGTTGCTAACCTAGGGATGCTAATGACTTGTCTAGGGGGCGCTAATCATTTGCCCAGGGGTGTGTGTAACTAGCCTATGGATGCCAATCATTGGTCAAGGGATAATAGCTTAGGGAATCCTAGTTGCTAGCCTAGGAATGCTAGTTACGAACCTTGAGAAACGAGTGATTAGCTTTGGAATGTTTGTCATTAGCTTAGAAGGACAAGACTAGGGATGCTAGTCACTAACTTGGGAATGCTAGTTGCTGGCATTGGGATGATAGTGACTAGCCTAGACAGGCTAGTTGGAAGCCTAGGAATGCTAGTCGCTAACTAAGCGACTTAGCTGGGCATGCTAGTATGTCTATTGACCAGTACTGAAATGCAAGGAATGCTAGTTGCTAGGCTAGGGATGCTTCTTGCTAACTTTGGGATGCCAGTTACTCTGTATGTATCAATGTATCATCCCCAGGAATGTTAGGGACCTAATGGTGCATGTGGCTAACCCTGAAATACTAGTGACAAACCTAGTGATGCTAGATGCTACAAGAACACATTTGGGAGGGATTATATGTCCGAGGACACAAGATTTAAATAACTATAGGGGCCTATCCTACATACAACAACTAGCCTCAACGTTAGGAAGCTTTCTACTGCTGGAACTTGGAGGAAACGTGAGGTGGCACCGATGGAGCGGCCTTGTATTCAGCCCCTTTAACAGCCCTCTGTTTCCATTGTGGTGTAAGATCCACGACGCTAACTCCAGGTTCGCCATAATATTGACAAATAATGGCACCTAGGAAAAAGAACCCTAACCCTAACCCCGACGTGGCAACTCTCCCGACAGCACGACAATATCACCCAACACACCACAAAAACTTCTCCAAACTCTCCAGATCCCAGAGCGAGCATCCACAAGACTAATCCACTGAGGTCCCACTTCACAGACACCACAGGACGCCGCCAGAGGTCTGGTGTTGAAGCCCTGAAGTGTCGGGGCTGTTTTTGTGGGGAAAGGGGGGCGTTGACAGTATCAGGCCGGTGGTTTTATGTTGTGGCTGAACTCTGTGAGCGTGTAATGATGGAAGGAGAAGTGAAAGCAGCAGAAAATCTGAGCAGACACAGATGGCTGGAAGAAATGGGAAGTAACAGAATTAAAATAATATTTTCTCTGAAGCAAAACTGCAGGTTACGAGTTCCTGATTATAATGAAGTGAACATCGGATATCCCAGAACAGGTCAGTGAACCTGATCGCAAGTTCAATCACACTGACTCCACCTGGTCTAACAGGCAATAATTTAATGTAGGACGTCCATGTAGAGCGGGGCGACGCTGATGGAAGAATCTCTAAAAAATATTTCTAACAAGTGCAAAGAAGGCTGAGCAGCTAGAATGCTGAACTAAGACAAAACCCTGAAATAGGGATGTTAGTTACTAACCAGGGATGTTAATGACCAGCCTACAAATCCTAGACAATAATCATGGCATGGCAGTGGTTAACCTTGAAATGCTAACTGCTAACCATAAGGATACTAAGTGAATCTAGACGTGCTTGTCGCCTGCAGAGGGATGCTAGTGACGAATCTTGGACCTTGATTTCATGGCCCAGAAATACTACAGACTAACCTACCAATTGCCTAGGAATAGGGATAGTATGACTAACCAAGAGACTAGTCCAGAAGGTTACTTGCTAGTCAAGGGATGCAAGTGACAAGCTAAAGAATGCTATTTGCTAGCCTAGGGAAGGTGCACGCTACAGTAGGGATGCTAGTAGCTAGCCTAGCAATGGCAATTGCTAACCAGAGGAAAGCTAATGACCAGAAATGCACGTCGCTAGCCTAGGGACACAATGCAATAGCCTAGAGATGCTAGTAACCAGCGAAAGAATGCTAGTTGCTAACCATAGGGATGCTAATCATCAGTCTAGAAAATGCTAGTGATTAGCCATGGATGCTACACAGTAGTCAATGGATACTAATATTTTGCCTAGAAATGCTAGTTGCCCACCATAGGGATGCTAATGATCAGTCTAGAAATGCTAGTTACTAGCCAACGGACACTACATTCGTCTAGTGATGCTAGTAACTAGCCTAGAAAAGCTAGTTGCTAACCATAGGGATGTTAATGATCAGTCTAGGAAATGCTAGTCACTAGCTTATGGATGCTACACAATAGTCAATGGATGCTAATATTTTGCCTACAAATGCTAGTTGTCCACCATAGGGATGCTAATGACCAGTCCAGAAATGCTTGTCACGAGCCCAAGAACCTTATGCACTAGTCCAGGGATGCTAGTAACCAAACTAAAAATGCTAGTTGCTAACCAGAGGGATACTAATGATTGGTCTAGAAATGCACTAGTCTAGGGATGCTAGTAAGTAGCCTAGAAATGCTAGTGGCAAACCCTAGCAATGCTAATGACCAGACTAGCAAAGCTAGCCAGGGGATGCTACTCATTAGTCCAGGGTTGTCAGTGACTTGGAATTTAAATCTTGTATTTACAGATATTTAATTATCAGCAGTGAAACAAACCAAATTGCAGGAATTCAGTGACATTAAAAACACCAAACTCGGTGACATTTTTTAGACGCTGGACTTTAAACCTCGTTATCGGCCTTCAAAATGCCACAAAGGTCGACAGCGACGAGCCTCGTCAGTGTGTCATGAGGCCATGTTCTCCGTCGCTCTGCTGGAAATGTGACTGTTTTCTCCTCCTCGTGCGGAACAAAGACGGCAGTGTGAGCCGTCAGCCCACCGCTGATGTTTGCAGCTGCACACAAACACACAACGATGATGATGAAGATGATGATGATGAAGGAGTACAGTCGACCCGGCTGAGCAGAACCACAGAATTATAAAAGACCCGCAGATCCAACTAAACTTCATTTTTTACTTCCATTGCACTACATTTACTGTTAATATTACTCCATTAACATCTTTGTTACTTTAAAAACTGAGATTTTGCACTAAAAAAACACGAGCGTCTAATAAAAGTTGCTGCTTTGTTATAAGTCAGTTTATTTATGAGTAATTTTTTTTTAAATCACACAAAAATGACAAATATTTCAATGTTCAAGTGTCTTAAATGTGGGAATTTGCTGCTTTTCTTTGAAATAATTTGAATTATTAAAAATTTTCCAAAACTTTTGAGGTCGAGGTGGATCATTCTGACAGCAAACCAAATAATCAACTAATTAAATAGAAAATAATCCAATGATGAAGCTTTAATAATGGCGTTAAATATTATTTGCTTCCAGAAAATAAAAAATAAAAAAAACCTGCAGTAAAATGCAGTTTATTCATGAAAGCATCTGTTATCTTCAGTGTTTTACTTAAATTAATAATAATAAAATATTCAAACATATAATCTTTCTGTGCATCTGAATGTCAAAAACATTTCTGTGTGAAGTTTTGAGATTCATGCAAATGTGAGTCTGAGCTGTAATTTTAAGTCGTTTTTCTGTGTTTGTGTTGATATTTGAAGAGTTCTAACAGCATAAATAATCTCTTATCCGTCATTTATCAGATGCAATCCAGAAAAGACACCAAATCTTTGCTGGCATCAGGCGACAAGCTTCTAAAGTTTATTAATTTTCTCCGTTTACACATGAATATTTGATGTAATATTTAAAACCGAAGGTGTAAATGGGATTTTTCTGCACCGACGCTTGAAATAAAAACGCAGGATTTTAACAAGTGCTAAAGTCTAGAAATGCAGTTTAGAGACGATGGAGTGAAACCTGTGAGTGTCACCGTGTCTCTGGCAGCTCACTTTAATGTAAGATTGGGCTCGTCGACGCCCCCTGTTGGAATGTTGATGAACTACCAGAAGAACAACAAACAGTCTGCAGATAAACACACAGATCAGCTAAACGGTGAACGATGTGGATTCAGGAACCCGGAATCATGTTGATTCTGTGGCAACACCAAAAAACACAGATCGACTCGTCTGTAAACCGTTTTACTGATTAATCGATTCATCAAGTGACAAATTTTTCCTCCAAAAAAAAAAGTAAAAATGACAATTTATTTTAATTTGACAAACTGTACAAAATGGAAGTTAACATATTATAAATTAGAGTCAAACAGAAAAAAAATGATGAAATAATAATAATAACTCTCAGTCGTAGGTTTATTTAAGATTTAAACTTGGTCTGAAAATAAAACACAGATATTTTAAGTGGAATTAACTTGAAACAGACGCGTTTTTGAGAGAAGATTAGTTGATTTTCACTAAATTCCTGCAACATGTTTGACAGCGTAGAACAGAAAATCCACCAAACCACACAAACCTGTCATGTCCCAGTGAACATAGTGATTCTATTTAGAAATAAGCTCCCTAATAAGTGTTTGGAGTGAATTATTTCCACTTCTAGACAATATTAATGAACAAATACTGCATGTGTTAGCAAACTGCACATCCTTAGATTAAATAAAGACATTTAAAGATAACCATAATGTGGTTTGAAAACGTCCTGCTGAATATATTCCAACATTTCCGTCCACTGAGCCAGCTTTTATATCAGATGAGTTGACAGCTAACGCACCAAACTCCATGCAGAAATCTCTAAATTTAACGTTTCATTCATTATTAGCCACAGTTCATACGGTTGAAATATTGCTTGAGGATAGAGTTAAATAAAATCGGTGTTGCTCTTTAATTCGGCGCTAATTAAAACGATTCTCTTCCATCTTAACAAAGACAAGTGTTGCTCTTAAAAGTTCACATTTTTGGATATTAACCGAAAAAATAGTAAAATGTGTGTTGTAGGCTGCTTACTTTTAATATAAATATTAACAGGTTTTATTAAAATATAGATGATACATAAAATACACAAACATTAGCAGATATTTATGCACAAACATTTGAATTTAAACTCACCCAGAAGACGAAATTGAAGATGAACAGGGCGTACTTGACGCACAGCTCCCAGCTGGTCAGAACCGTCATCCTGCCCAGTGCGGTGGTTTAACGCGTTACAGGGAAATAAAGTGTCAAATATCTCCGTTTATCTCTGATTAAAGACGCTCCTTCGGCTCGGACCCAGTTCGGTTCTGCTCGGTCGGTTCCGTCACAGTTCGGAGGCAGCAGGACGAACCAGTCAGCTGCTGCGGGGAGGAAACGGACCGACGACACCCACAGACGGACATTTATGTCCTTCAGCTCTCTGTCTCTGTCTTTGTCTTCTGTTTGGACTTTGGGTCATTTTTACAGTTTGACAGGCAGCGTTTGGTCAAGACAAAGGTCCAAATGAAGGACTTCAGAACCGCAATAAATCAGAACCAGACAAACCAAAACACCAAAAAACCACAAACACAAGCGTCCTCAGCAGATATACATGAATACAGTAGAGAGAAACGGCCTAAAGGTGGTTTTAATGTTGAATTAGATTATTTCTGGTGAGTTCTGGATGCATATTTAATTTTATTTATTTTATTTTTTTTTAATTGTAGGAAATAATAATCACATCTTTACACTTTTTGCATTCTAAATCCTCCCTGATGTACAAATCATTAAAGGTACCAGTACTCATGACACATAATTACTCTGAATGATTAATTATTACGTGTTAATCAGTTTAATGTTGCAGCTACTAAATGTGGAGCTAATTT